AGGTAGCCCTGGGGAGTCGGTGGTGGGAGGCAGCGGGTCCTGGCCGGCACCAAAGCCTCCCAGGGGGCCCCGGGGCCCCTGGAGGAGCAGGCTCAGGGACCATGTAATTGTAGTGAGAAAACCAGGGCAGCCTGAGGCCTTGGGGCTGTGTCTCCTATGACCCTGGAACTTCCCACAGGCCCTGGCCCAGACACAGCCTGTTTGTTGACTGAACAAACAAACACATATATTAATATTCAGGAACTAAAGCCAAAGGGATGAGGTAATCCACTTGAGTAAATTCTTCAGATAATTGAAACCCCATCAATTCACGGTAACATTTTCCACCAGCTTCTTAAACAGAGGCAGACACATTTATTCAACAGACGATGTCCGAGTGCCGGTTATGGGCCAGGCAACGCTGACTTTCTGGGGGAGGCACACTCTTAACCAAGAGCCCAGCAGAACTCAGACACTCTCAGCGTGAAAACTGCTCCTCTGCCTCCCCGGGGTCCTGCACAGTGTTCCCATGCCCTGCAGGCCCCAGACCCGCAGGCCCTGCCCCGGGTGCAGGTGCCACTTCCGAGGAGCTGCTTCCACGGACCATCTCCCTCTGGGCTGTCACTCACAGTCATCTCTTAATTAGCAAAATAAATAGCGCGATGATAAATGTCACAATTTACTCAACAAATGATCAAAATCATTGTTTTTTCAGACTCCAGGGCAATAAAATGCAATCAGGGGTGATTTATGCTGGGCAGGGTGAGTGGTGGCTGCCTCGGCAGGCGGCTGCGTCTGGGTGGAGGGGCTGGGAGTTGGGGCGTCCTCCCCACGGGGGACAGACCACCTCCCTTTGAGATGGAGCCCATGGGGATGTTTCCACACCCCCCACGCTCCCATCTGTCCACAGCAGGCCAGGCCCAGGGTGTGGGGAGACACGTCTGACACGGGCTTGTTTTCTTCCAGAATGACAGGGACTCACTTCCCAGTGCTCACTTCCTGGTGCCCCAAGCACTAGGAGAAGGGAGGTTTAGAGTCGCTGAGCGTTCCTGGTGCCCACACAGGAGGAGGGAGCGGAGGGCCTTCCTGGGTCAGATCAGGGATGGCTGAAGGACTCAGTGAGCGAACAGTGGTGGGGGAAGTTCAGTCACCGGCCAACCCCCACATTCCCATTTTGCTAAAGAAAAATTCCTACGTGAAACAGGGATGGCCCCGCACCTGAGGTCGTGGGTCATCTGTGTCGGCCAGAGTGCCAAAGAAGCACCCTTGCCAGAGGGGTCGTGCCCAGAAACCATGTGTTGGTTAGACACTGTGTCTAATAAAAGAGAAAGAGAAGCCAGACTACTGGATTTTATTTCAATGGAATGACCCAGAACAAGAATTTTGTTCTCAGAGTAGAAAGAAAATTGTTCCCATGGTGTCCTAAAATGACGGTAAGAATAACCTATTCAACCTTGATTTTAAACCGGTCCCCAGAGGGTCACCTCCCGTGCCTGTCAGGGATCCCGCTGGTTTCTCCCTCTGTGTGCTCGAATCCCAGACCCGACCCTACAGGAGAACCCGCGCTCCCGAGCTGGAGCTGCCCACAAGACCACTCTGGCCATCCCTCTGGGAGTCTGAAATGATACTGGGTCCTCCTTAACTTCTCTTGTCATCTTTGCTAAAATGTCGTTACCTGCTCTTTTTCAGTAAATGAATACCATGTAAATTGTAGTAAAATCACATTATTCTGATTTGTAAGATTTAATTACCAGCATGAGAGTGAACAATCACACACGTAAAATTCAGGACCGTCGTAAGATTATGTGCATTCACCTGCTGTGCTTGGGCCGTGCCTCTGAGGGTCCTGGGCCTGGTCCGGCTTCCCCTGCTAACGCAACGCTTACGCGCGAAAGTGTTTCTAGCTCTTTGCTTTATCTCCTGCCTGCTCTGGGCCGAGCTCACTACAGGCCCAGCGAGAGCATCTGTGCAGGAGCTTGGATGGATGGTGGTGTGGCCAGGCCGCCTGCCTGTGTTAGTGACTCGAGGGTTCACTGGAGGCCCCTCTCCTGTCCGGAACCACAGAAAGATCCAGGCTCTGGCGCCTGGGTTTTCTGCTCCCCACCTCAGGCCCTGTGTGCAGACAGAGCAAAGCAAGGACAGGCCTAACTGCAGGGGACCCACAGGTCCCCTCTCTCTCCCGAGCCGCCCGTCATCCTAGAGGAAGGCGCGAAGAGAAAACAGGAATCTGTTTCAGGACAGGAGCAGGGAACTCCAGTAAGGCTGCTTACGAGGGGAGACGATTGGTTTTCTGCCCCCAAGGTCCCCAACGAGGTCCAAGGAGCCAAAGAGACTGCCTCAACCTCATGATTTAGTTCAGGCAGAAGCGGGCTCGCCCCGAATGTTCGGGGGCCACCTCCTGCTTCTACACCTTCATCAGGGGAGGCAGCGGCCTCCCATCCAAATCTGCCATTGGCTCTCGCTCGCAAGGATGCAAACACTGCTCTGACCCCCTTTGATTTCAGCCACAAGCCCAAAGACGGATCACGGAGCAGGTAACTGGTGCCTGAACTCGCAAGGAAAACAAGGGCAGACGAGATAACGTCGGGTGCGTCTGGAACACTATTTGAGGACGTTGGATTGAGGGCAAATATTTCCAAGTGCTGGCATGAAAGGTGGTTGTCAGGTCAGACCACGGAACAAAGCCGGCTGCAGAGACGGGAGGCGCGCTGTGGAGCGAGAACGTTCCCTCACGTATGCGGAGAATAACTAATATCACAAAGTCAACAGGCAAGGGGCAGATAATAGCCACAGCCTGTACCAGGCCGGGCACCGAGCAGCTGCGATAGGGAGCATTTCTTGAAAAAAACGAGCAGACAGAAACTTGTATCAGAGCGGACAAGAACAAAGTCACCTCAAGGTCATCCAACGGCTACCTGGAAGGTGTGTTCACTCTCCAACATCTAGAAGCCACCAACTAACTCAGTAGCCCAGACCTTTCTGAGTGCATCAGACAAATACCCTCAAATCCTCTCCCGGACAGCCAGGCAGGGAAGGGCAGGCCAGGCTGAGTCTGCAAACAGCCACCTCACGGCCAGAACCACTTACCTGCCACTCTGTCTGAAAGTGTTCTTCTTGGTCCCATACAGGCAGACCCTACGGGCCAGGAAAGAGGGTGCAGGTGCCCACAGGAGAGCTGCACTTCCAGACGCCCTCACTTCCTGCCTCACCTCTCTCCCAGGGCCCTGGCAGGTCTGTTCTGAAGGTGACCCTGACCTCGAGCAGCACACACTGAGTCTGCTGCTGAGGGACGGCAGGGGCACATCCGGCTCACACACCCCAGCTTGCCAAGCTGTGGCTTCCACCATTGTGGATTGTGGTGAATTCTGGTGCGCTTGTTCCTTCAGTCATCTGGTCAACCCAATTCCCAGCTAAACCTTCAAAGCCCTCTAAAGAGGGTGGGGCTTTAAGCTGGCACTCGGGTAGGGAGCTTCTGTGTCTCCCGCTGTCCATACCCCATGTGCCACCACAGACCACACTCTACCTTCTGCTGGAAAGTCGGGGGCACTAAGTGTTTAGGGGCCCAGTCACCCCTGTCTCCTTATGAAGGGAGTGATGGTCTCAGCTCTGCCAGGCTGTGGGCAGCCTGGTCCACCACCAACATGCGCATCAACACACCCGGGCTCCTCCAGATCCTCAGAAAGGATTTTAAATGCTGATGGGCCCAGGGAAGAAGCTCAAGGCTGCTGGGGCCTGGAGCCTCCCAAAGGGCTGGGATGAGGGCGTGCACTTGTGCATCCCACATCTCTAGGGAGCGCTTGAGGCATGAAGTGCAGTGTTTAAAAACCACAAAGCCTCGAGAGATGGAGAGAGAGAGAGAGGGAGACAGAGAAAGAGAGCAAAGACAGACCTGAATTCTTCCCTCACTCAACAGAGAACACTGAACAGTTTGGGGACACTGCCAGAGCCACCGAGAGGTTGGGAGAGGTGGATTCCCCAACCCTCACTATCCTGAGCCCTGCCGTTAGTGGACACGGGTTCCCGGCCACACAGGGTCCTCTTCCTTCCTTGGACCATTCGCCCTTTCTGGAGCTGACCTCCGTCCAGCACTGTTGGGCACTGTGAAGCACCCAGAAGGAATCTGGGTTTGCATCTGCACTTTCCGCCCAGGCAGGGTCCCTGCCAAAAACACCACCAGCAACTGGCTGTGTGGGGCCGGCAGAAAGGCCGGCACCAGCGGGGAGAGTGCTTTTGTGTGACTTGTGGTTCTCATGAGACCACCATGAAAGCCCCCCAAATTGGGGCCCAGTGTCCCTCATGGCCTGAGCAGGACTCCTCTGGAGGAAGGGACGCCTTTGGGGATATGAGCATCCCCTCCCCTAACAGGTTTCCCCCTTATGACCATACATGGGCTCCAGGACTGTCAAGCCAGGCCCAAATGGTTAGGGAAATCTAAACCACAAGATGTTCCTCTCTGGCAGGATGAGACTTACATTCCCGCTAGTCTGAGCAGTGGGGTCCCCTCTTGGGGAGCTGGCTGACCCTGCGGGGTGGGTGGGAGGCCCTGGACATTGATGTGCACAGGCTGCCTGGGTCAGCACAGCCACCAGACATGTTCTACGAGCTGCCCTCGCTGCTCACCGAGGAGCTAGGCCCCCATCTGCAGCTTTCCCGGGAGTAGTGACTCCTGTTCTGGGACATTCCATTAATCTACGCTGTTCTGCCGAGATTGCAGCCTTAGCACCTAAGATCCAGACGGGAAGCACGGAGTGTTTTAAGACATGAGCTCATTAAAGACACATTTCCGGGAAGAGAGCAGGCGGGCCTGTGGGGGCTGACGGGCGCCCACGAGGACCTCTGGTGTTTTCCGAGGCGCGTCATGCAAGCTGCAGGGTAAAATAAGCCTGAGAAACGTGACATTCGAACGGCTCTCTCCGACCCAGCCTCCCGCCTCGGGCAGCGGCTGCTCAACATGGCTTTATAAATAGATGGAACACAAGATAAATGGCCATGATCAATCACGCTCACATGAGAATGCTCACCTCCCAGCCAAAGCCTGCCTCCTTCAACGCGGCCCGGGGCGCCACCATGTAAGGGCCAAACCTCTCCCCGATTTCCATCTTCTTCTTGGCCCAGATCCCCAGGCCGGCCCCTGGGATGGAGGACTCTCGGAGCTCAAAGTCTGGAGGGATGGGAATGTCCTCAGGAATGTAGACGGGGGCCTCGTACGGTGAGCCCTCCTTGGGGGTGAAGTCCTCGCTGGTGGGGAAGGGGGATGGCGGCCCCATGGGGATGGGAGACATGATGCTCTCCTCGGTCTCGTCCTCGGCACTCTCGCCAGCCAGCAGGTCCGGGTCAGGCTCATACATATTATTTACAATGTCGCCGTCACCTGAAGGAAACAATGCAGTGTCAAGCTCTGTAGCACGCCCTTCCCCAGTGCATGAACCTCAGGGACCACTGGGACATGGGACTGAATAGGAGCCGAGGGTGCCAAGTGGCCCAGAAAACGCTCTGCCGCCACCCCCTGCCCGGGAGACATCACCTTGGCTCCGTCCCGAGCAAAGCAGCCCTCGCTCCACGTTGGAGGTGCCCAGGGATGCAAGTCCACCAGCCTCCTTTAGGAACTGACGTTTAGAACCCCGCAGCACACAGTTCTCCCCGAGTCTCCCCGGCCCCACACAGCGACCTGAGGATGCGTCTGCCTGTTCTGCTTTAGGAGAGCTGCCCTAGGAGCTGCCTGCATGCCACAAGTTTGGGGACAGTGGGGGAAGCTGTCACACTGGCACCCAACCCAGGGCTGATGGTGAAATATTTGTCCTGGAATCATTCTGGTTCACGTCAGTAGCCTTCGGAGACAGAGACATGTCCCAAGTTCTTGAGAGGACTTAGAATACAGGTTACTGTGAAATGTGCCCAGGCACCTGGGCCGCTCTGGGCAGCTCGGTGGGGCTGGCCAGGTGCTGGGGAGGGTTCCTGGAAGTTCCCGATGACCTGATGGTGGGTTAGGAGAGCGGCCTGCTGAGGTCATGAATATGGGACTCAGGGGCCTGAAGGTCATGGGACTGAACAAAAGGGTCCCCAGCTTGTCTGTCTTGTGCGGGCCTTTCTTTGGGGTCCATCCTAAGAGACAGTTGGTGCCAAGACAGTGCCACCTGGACACATGGCAGAGGGTGGCCTGAGGCCCCGAGGAGGTGATAAAACGTGGGCCGGGGGAGGGACAGCAAGAGCAAGAAGGACAGTCAGGAAACAACTCCATTCTGCATATCCACCCAAAAGAATTGAAAACAGGGGCTCAGGCAGCTGACTGTTCACGGCAGCGTCACCCACAATCCCCCAAAGGTGGAGACAACCTGAGGGTCCTTCAACGGACGAACAGATAAACAAATCACGGTCAATCCACACAACAGAATATTACTCAGCCACAAAAAGGCATGAAGCACTGACACACGTACAACGCGGAGGAGCCTTGCAAACATTATGCTGAGTGAGAGAAGCCTGACATGAAAGGCCACATATCGTGTGACTCCATTTATACGAAACGTCCACCAGAACAGGCAAATCCATAGAGACAGAATTCACGTCGGTGGTTGCTGAGGGGAGAGCGGGGGGTGCAGAGTGATGGATTGATGGGCACGGGGCTGCTTTGGGGATGAAAATGTTCTGAAACTAGATAGAGGTGGTGGTTGCACAACATCGTGAATGTGCGAAATGCCACTGAATTGTACACTTCAAAACGGCTAATTTTTTTATGTGAACTTCACCTCAATTAAAAAAAAGTCAGAGAAGTGCAGGAGGACTGGGGTGGGGGGGCAGGAGGGGTGGGGGCTGCGGCGGGGAGAACGGCTTGCTCCGCTGCTCAGAGCCTGCTGACCTCTGATCTTGATGTTTCCGCCTAAGTCCCTCCTTCTGCGCGGGTTGAAAACCTGTGAAAGTGACCCGAAAGCCACGGTCACTTGGGCCCTTGTCTCAAGGCCCCTCCCTGCTCCCTGACGTCGGCGGGTGAAATGGATGTCTCCAGGGAGACGAGAACTTTTAAGTAGAGAAAAACGACTTCAGATTCCTCATGCTGGTTGCAAACACATCGGCTGGAGAAGTAACAAAATGTTTTCTTTCAGAAGAAACCAAAGTCTTGAAAAAAAATCATGGGGATAACACTTATTTAATTTAGCAGCATTCACAGAAGTAATTATTATGTTTTAAGTGGCCAACGGTTCCTTTTTAATTGACTCGTGGGATCCTTTCAGAAATGTAACAACAGAACTGCGGCTGTTGTTCCCTCCACCCTTGAGATCTGAAGTTGTTTAGGTTTGAAAGAACACCCCCATAAACCTTCCCCGGACTGTGTGCGGCATAAAGGTAAATTAGAAGGGGGGTAATTAACATGCCACCTTATGATCTGGACCCGGCAACTGCATGGAGCTCGCAAACAAAATCAGGTTGGAAGCCGCGGGGCCCCCCAATGCGCCTCCTTAACTCCTCCTGGCCGCGAGGCGACGCCTTCCAGGACAATTAGGAATTAGAGCGGCTATTTGTGTGAGCTCTGCTGGGGCAGAAAGTGGGGAAGTGTCCCCATCCCTGCATATTCATCTCTGGGCTCTTTTTTGGGTTCTTTTTTCTGTTTGAATTCTACTTCCCAAAACTCCTCACCTACTGGAGGAAAATCAACGCTTTCAAAGCATGTTTAATTTACTGGCCGAGCAAACAGCTCAGGAGAGAAAGGTGGTGTTTCCTGCTGATTAAAGGAAGGCTGTGCATCGGCCCGGCATCCCACACCAGCGGTCACAGGGGTTAAGTGATTGCCCGAAGCCGCCAGGAAAACACAAGTCTCCGTTCTGCTGCCCTCACTGCTGGGGGATAGAGGGCTCCTCTTTCAGAACTGGATAAGACAAGGCCTCATAAGTGTACAGAAAACATGTGGAGAAAATGGGGAGCCGTGAGCAGCCCCCAAGGCCCTGGAGAAACAGAAAGCTGCTGGAGGCTGCAGGGCCGGCGGGGCGGGCAGAGCACAAATTGCCCAGCTCCCAGGGTCCCCGAGCAACCGGAGAGGCTAGATTGAAAGATCACCCTTTCTCAGCCCTGAGCTGCAGCCAGGATGCCCTCTGAGACAGCCGACCCCTCTGCCCCGTGCCAGCTGCACATTTTCAGGAGTGGGTGCATTTCCCCCGCCCCGTCACCCAGGCCCCCATGACTGCCGGTGCACTTCCAGCCGGCGCTCTCCCGAAGGTCGGAATGCAGCACCAAGAACATGAGCTTTTTATGACTTCGGAAACACAGGCTGCGCAATAGTGTGTTATTTACTTGTCAGGAGACCTGAGGGCCTGTATTTGGCTTTTGTGGTAGTTTCAGGTAGAGGTTCGTGACTGAGTCTGTCATTCCTAAAAATTCTTTTGAGAGACCTACCAAAATAATAAAAGCAGGGAGAGTGGTGGGGAGAGGCGCAGGGGCGGCAGGAGGGGAAAGAGCCCGGACGCCGGTGGGCGGAGCCATGGCACGGAGATCAGGCCACCAGGAACCTGCTGCAGGTGCCGGGCCCCAGCCAGGTGGTGGTGTGCTTGGTGAACTTCATGCTGAAACCCCGGCCCCAGCCAGGTGGTGGTGTGCTTGGTGAACTTCATGCTGAAACCCCGTCTGGAGGTTTCTCACACACCGAAGTCCAGAAACCCAGCTGCCCCCCAGGTGGGGGACAGTACCGGCTGGGAACCCCTGTGTCCTTGGCCCCTACCCTGCCCCCCTTCCACCCTGAACCCTTAGTTTAGGGCTGGGTCTCTTCCAGCCTCACAGCAGGAGCCTTCTGCCCCTTTTCACCCAGATCGTAGCAAATAATCCCTGAAAGGAAGCCGCCCCCACCGTCTCCCCAGAGAGCCCCATCTAGACCTCAAACCCATGGCCAGGATTTCAGGGTCTGGAGAGAGAGAGGAGGGCCCAAATTAAGACTGTTGTGCTCAACCAGCCACAGCGGAGGTCCCTCACGCGCTGCCCACCGCGAGGCTGGCGGCCCTGCCGTGGCCCAGTAAGTGGCGTACCGGGAGGGTGATTATTAGCGCTGTAAAGACCATGGGCCCCTTCCCTGGAGCCCCAGCTCCCGGCTGCTCGTTACCCAGCGGAATCCGGCAGATTTAAGCCTTGACCCGCGGCCGGGGCGTGCGGGAATTTCTCTGAGTCAATGTGTGGTTTGCTCCGGTTCCTCCTCTGTTGTGTGGCGGGTCTTTAAGGAGGAGCCATTAAACCCGCGAGCCCCGTCACCACCGCAGGAAAACTGCACCATGCGGAGGGCAGCAGGAGGAGAGCAGAGTGCGGCCTCCGGGGAGTGAGCGGGTGTGCGGGTGTGTTAGTGTGAACACGTGTGTGAGTGTGAGTGTGAAGGAGTGTGCATAAGGGGAGGGACAGTCAGGGACCCTGAAAATACGTCCAAGGCAATCTCAGCCAGCCTCCTGCCTCCACACGGCCCTTTGGGTGGGGAGGACATCACTGCCCTCCTTCTGGAGACCCCCGAGAAGAAAGGAGAAAGAAAGCCCCTCTGACGGGCACCAGGCGCCCAACCCCCGGGGCCGCCTCATCCTTCCTTCTTCAAGCACCAGGCAGCGGGACAGTGCTCAGCTGCCCCCCATGATGGCAGAGAGGATTCCGCAGGGGCATCCCAATGCCGCCCTGTGATGTCTTCATGAGGGACAGTTTACAGCGCCAACAGGCCCTGTGGAGGGACTATGCAGAACTCGGCCCTGCCCAAACGCCCTCTCCAGGGGCCAGCTCTCCCCCAGCACTGAGGAGGATTCTCCTTGGGCTCGCTGGCCTCCCAGGACACCTCTACTCTGCTACGAGAGGATTCTGCCCCTGGATCCAGCGTCTGGCCACCTGGTACATGGCCTGCCCAGCCCGAGGGCGTGTGCTCATGTGCGGAGGGTGGACTCTCACCCACCACTGGACACAGGGCCCTGGGTCCCCAAGCCTCCATTCTCTGGGCTGTGGCCCAGAGAGCTGCCGGCCAGGCCTCTGCAGGTCCACCCTGCCATGCCCCCAGCAGAGAAGGGCTCAGCCACACCAAAGCACGTACCAGGTGCCAGCCGCTCCCGGCCACCTTTATGACCTTGCTCCTGGAAACAGTGGGGGCTGAAGAGGAGGATGAGGGAGACTTCCTGAATAGAGGAGCCAACTTCATATTTGGGGTGACATCAGGGCCAGGTGATGACCCTCCTCAGCAGATGAGCAGTTGTGGGGCGGGGAGCAGGGAGGCAGGTGGTTATAAGAGGAGCAGGTGAGACATCCTGGGGAGGGCGCGGGGGGCGGCTCTGTATTCTGGCTGTGATGGTGGATGCACAGACCTGCCCGGGTTAGTGGAGGTAAATGCTCACACAGGGCAAGTCCAACTTGCCTCTGAAGGAGATACATTGT